ATTGCTGAACTTCCTGCACTAGTGTACACTAGTGGCACCGAAACGTTCTTTATTGCAGTGCAATATAACCCAAGTGCGTTCTTTATTGCGGTGCAATAAAATTTAGTGTAACAGTTCACTGTACTCACTGTCCTAGGTCTTGAGGTAGGGCAAGCAGTGCAGGGCAGTGCAAGGTAAGTTAATAATAATGATAATAATAGTAGATCTAATTTTACAAATATGTAGTAATAGAAAGTAATCAGGATTTATTATAAATATTAACGTATTTTAATAAATATTATGTAATCTTTTAAATATTGAGCAAAGAGAGAGTATCTATATAAATAACCTAACCTAACCTAACTTATTAAATATTAAAGTAATCTATTAAAGTACTTAACAATTCTCTTACAATTAAATTATAAACATAGAAATTGTCGAAATATAGATTAGTTTATAATCAAAATTTGATAAAGCACACTGTAATAATGTAAACTTTTATCAAATTAGAAGAAAAAGTTTCGTGTCTATATATAAAAATCTTTTTATGCTGTAACTGTTACATTCACGAAATTATATGTATCTTTAATAATAAATAATAATAAATTCATTTACAGATTAACTGAAAATTTAGGATGATGGAGAACGAAACAGCAAATATACAAAGAGATGCAGTAGGAAATATAATAATTGATGAAAATGGATATGTTACTTGTATTTCTGAAGGTATTAAAATTAAGTATCTAAATATGACTAATTAAGAAATCAACAAAAATGACAATTTCTGTATTGCTTTGACTTTTTAGGAGGGCTACAATTTCAGCTTTGTTATGACGAAATTAATTTCAGTTGTGACTCAATAACTTGTACTGTTGACAACAAGTCAATATTTATTCCATTAAATGACAATAATAACATAATAGAAAATGAACAAGGAAACAATGAGAAAAATATAATACAAGAGAATGTGGAAAATGAAGAAGAAACATTTTCATGGTCAGATGCAAGCACAAAATTATTTTTACATCTATATAAAGAAAAAATTAATTTAGTATCAACAAGAAAAATCAAAAACAAAAAAATATTATGGCAAAAAATAGCGGAAGAAATGAGTACACAAGGCTATAATGTATCAAATATACAGGCTGAAAATAAATTTAAATCATTAGAAAGATCTTACAAAAATATGATCACAAATAATAAAAAAACAGGCAGAGGTCGAGCATCATGTCGATATGAAACGTAAGTATTGTTATATTTCGACTAATAAAGAATTAATACATTTACACTCATATTAGGATTTTTTGCTTTAAATTTCTTCAAAATTGTACCGACAGAATACTTTTTATAATACAAAATGCATTATTATAGAGAATTGACAGATTTACTGGGGAAAAAACATAATATTGAACCTTTAGTTACCTCAGGAAATAAGGGCACAATAGTGAGAACTGAAAAAGTTACACCTATGTAAGTTTTATATTATATAATTACTAAGCTTTTAAATAATAGTATATAAAGGTGCATATAAGACAGTTCTCTATACACAAATAGTATTGTTTATCACACAAATTGTATAATGTATATATGTGTAAACATAATAATTTGTAAGGATAAAATTTGTGTACAATATAATTTGTTTGTAGAGAAACTGTCTTATATGTACATATATGCATTGTTCAACTATTTGAAATATTAAATTTTAACTTCAATTATTAATAAATTGCTAATTATTTATGTAACACAAACAATATTTATATGTGTATAATACAGCACACTAGTAATTTTATTAATATTGCACAAATTAGTAAATAAAATAATTATACAATAAGTTTTATAATAAAAGTTACACATATAATATTCACACGTAATTGTCACTATAGATTCAGTCCTGAAATAGAAACTATAGAAAATACACAAAATCTAACGAAAGTTAACGCAACCAGCCAAAAATTATCAATAGTTGAAAGACCGAGACAGAACGAAGAACCATCAACAAGTACTATACATGATCAACAAGACGCAACATCTATTCAAAAACAGCAACAAGAAATAAATGTAAGAATTTCGTTATTTTATTTTGGTGAAGTCATTATAATAACATTAATAAACATAACAGTAATATAACATATATATGTACAGGAAAAATCCGAAGGCAGAAGTTCCAAGAGGCAAATGGGTACGACAGCAAGAATTTTACAAACTTGTCAAGAAACCATAAAAGACCTAACAAATCGTATTCAAGAAGAAAGACATAATAAAATAGAACTAGAAAGACAAGTATTAGTGGAATACAAACAAATGAGACAATCATATGAAACACATTTACAGAAAATAGAAGAGCAATTAACAATTGCTAATAAGCTAAGAGAAGAAAGAAACAATTTATTAAAAACTCTTGTCAGTAAACAAAATAATATTTAAAAATTGGGGACTTATAGTATTAACGTTATATAGTTTTATAGTTAGTATAGAGTTATCTCCTTATATAAATTGCAATATGTTTTGTTTTGAATAATTAAAAATTTGAGACTTATAGTATTAACGTTATATAGTTTTATAGTTAGTTTATAGTTATGTCCTTATATAAATTGCAATACGTTTTGTTTTGAAATTTATGTAAAGAATAAAATGGTATGGCTCAAATGTGTTATACACAAATTTAAAGGAATAAAGGACTAAGAGCCGTGACAGGATATTAGTGTTTAAATATTTTATTCTAAATTTATTGCGAAAAAATCCTGGCCGATATTTTTTCGCAATAAATGTAGAATAAAATATTTAGATACTAACACCCTGTCACGGTTCTTAGTCCTTTATTCCTTTAAATTTATATAAAAACATAACTATATACTAGCTACAAAACTATATAACGTTAATACTATAAGTCCCCAATTTTTAATTATTATTATTATTTAATATAAATACATTTTTTTATTTTTCATTTTTGACAATATTTTAATGCAATATTGTTCATTTTATATTTTATTTTTTGCGTTATCTTAACATAATACTATTTATATTATATACATATGTATATACAATACTATTTTACGTTTTGTTTTGTATTATGTTTTATTTGGTATCTGTATAGTACAATTTTCACAATATGTTCATTATATAACACTACACAGTATATTTTATAGTACAATTTTCACAATATGTTCATTATATACTTAACACTATACAGTATATTTTATATTATTATTGAGTTGACAATAAATTGCATACTTGATCACGGACATGTGCTCCTGTTATGTCGCCCTCGTATTCCCTTGGTGCATTATCAATTATGTCAATCTGTCTATGTTGTAATTCAGCATCAGGGTACTCATCGTCTAACTGTTCTTCAAAATATTCTAATTCTTTTACATTTGCTATGTTATGCAATACACAGCATGCGTGTATGACACGCACCATTCGTACCATATCTCTCAATTTAAAATGATATAATTGACGAAATCTTTGCTTAAGACATCCAAATGCATTTTCGATAATAACTCTGCATGAACTTAATCTTTGATTGAACATTCTTTGTGCACGTGTCAAGTGTCCGTTATCTCTATATGGAACAATTAGTTGTTTCAAACAAGGATAAGCACTATCTCCCAAAAAGTAATAATTATCTGAAAAGTATCATCACAATATTAGAAAGCCAAGTTTATTATAGAAAATTTTATACAAATCAGTTTCTTGATATTATTTATTTTTACCTCCACAAATTTCATGCAAATTATTACGTATTGTTGAATTTCGGAAAACTCTAGCGTCGTGGACAGAACCTGGATACCCAATAAAAACATCTATAAATTTCATGTTATGATTAACGATCCCTTGTAGTTGTATAGAAAAATATTGTTTTCGATTGATATATGAATCAGGATCTTCCAGAGGTTTATCGATCCTGATGTGAGAACCGTCAATAGCACCTGAAAGAAGAGATCTCAATATTTGAATATTTTCAATTAAAAATATAAGAATATATATATATACATTTATATATACATATATTTATATTTACCAATTACACCAGGAAATTGTTTTTGTTCTAGATAAAAATTTGCGGTTTCTTCTTTTTCGAGTTGAGTTGGATATTTAATAACATTAGGTGCTATAGATAAAGTAAAATCGGTTACTCTTGTAATTACTGAATGTAACGAACTTATTGTTATGCCAAATCTGTCTGCTACATCGCGGTAAGATGCAGTTTGATGACCAACAAACCATAAGTAACATAGAATATGTTTTTCAGCGGTTATTTTTATATTTCCTATACGATCTGAAAAAATAACATAAAGATTAAATTAAAAAAAACACACACACACATATATATATGTATATAAAATTATATATATTTCATAGTTTTATTTTTCTATTTAAAATAAGAAAATTAATACATACCTTGAAGAATAATAAACATTTCCGACACTCTAAATTGATCAATTAATTGGTATGTTACTGGCCTCGACAAGCGAAAATGCATAATAAAATCTATATCATTATAGTCAGAAATAACATTTTCTATATAGTTATTTATTTTCACATGCTCGATTCTTTGTACTAGTCCAAAAATTGGATGTAATAAATGTATTTCATCAAAATCTAAAAAAAATTAATAACTAGGTTAGAGTAGGTTAAATTTCCAAACAATTTCAATTTTTAAAATAATATAATACTAAATTGTATATAAAAACATGTTTTATTACCGTCATCATCATTTAAAAGAGGTGCAAATGAAACAGGTGGTATTAAATTAATATTTTCTTCTTCATCAGAAGAATCTAAGAAGTCCAACACGTGCGCCATATTGATTCCTGTACTAAGGCGTTCTTTATACATGCTCATTTTAGCTTGTCCTCGCTTGCACTAATTTAGTTCAGTGCAGTGCAATATGAACTCAGTGCAGCAATAAA